ATAGATAGATAGATAGATAGATAGATAGATAGATAGATAGATAGATAGATAGATAGATAGATAGATAGATAGATAGATAGATAGATAGATATAGAGAGAGAGAGAGAACCATAAGGATGGTTAAAAATTTCCTCATCATTCTAAGAACTCCATTTCTCTGTGTAAAATTACAAACATTTTATCATGGCCAGTACACTATATGAGTACTAATGACTGTTGTCTTCAGGTTGTTAGGTAGCACTGTACTAAGCAGCTTTAGCCTTACTTACTGTTTCTCTCCATCTGCAAGCCACTTTGCAACCTACCTCATCTCTAACTCTTCCTTTTTATCATGTTTCTTTTGCTGTTGATGGTAGATCTTTTTTGTGCTGGGGGTTTCGCTGCTCATCTCCCAACCGCTTTCCATGTATATAAAATGGAAGATCACAGAGAAGTGCTCCACCATAAAAGAGACATAGCTCAAAAATAAAGTCATCATATTATTAAAATAATCGTGTTTTGGCAATATTAGTTTTGACTTAATTCAAATTTGAAATTATTGTTGGAAATCGTGGACTGAATGCTTAGCAAATTAAACCAGTATTTTTAAAACAGTTTTTCTAAACTGGTGTCCTGAGGAAACACTTTAAAGGGTATGCCTTTCCTGGCTTCCTCCTCTTATACTGTTGGGTTAGGTAAATGAGTTATCTCATATACAAAAATGGAAGTACGGCAGGATGCCGTAGTGAACAAGGTTCATTGCCTTTATTGTGACAAGGTTTGCTTATTTCAACAAGACAAAGTCAGCCCAAATTCTAAACATATTACAGCAACAGAGTTCAGATGCCAAGGCCCTTCAGCCATTAGAAACATTTGGTTGCATTATGAAACAAAGAGAGCCAAAGAGGCAATGTACTGTTGAGCAGATTAAATTTTGTTTCAAGCACTGGAAAGGTTTTGCTTTCAAAAGTACAGCAATTGGTTTGCTCACTATTACAGTTTCATTAAAATAAGAGTATCTGCAACACAGTGGTAAAATGGACTATGGTAGAAAACATGCTGCTGTCGCAACTCTTGTGAATCCTGGACAAAATTCAAAATTAGCATACTTTTTTAGTGAGGTATCTCTCAGTCAAATTTCTGGATTATAGAAATCCCACATTTAATCCTAAACACTTTTTTCCATTCAATGGATTTACAATACATACAATATATTGCCAAAAGTGTTCACTTACCCATCCAAATAATTGATTGCACATTGCATTGTGTTCCAATCACTTCCCTGGCCATACATATATAAAATCAATACCTAGACAAACAGACTGCTTCTACAAATACTTTTGAAAGAACAGGCCACTCTCAGGAGCGCAGTGAATTTCATCTTGGTACGGTGATAGGATGCTACCTGTGCCCAGAATCCAATTAACTTTCCTCACTACTAAATATTCCAAAGTCCACTGTTAGTGATATCAAAACAAAATGAAAGTGACTGTAATAACAGCAGTCATTACAGGCACAAAGTGATAGTTGACACTGACCCAAATAGAGCGGGGTCAGCAGATGCTGAGCTGTATAATAAGAGAGGTCACCAATTTTCTGCAGAGTCAACGTTACAGACCTCCGAATTTCATATGGTCTTATTATGGTTTCCATGGCTGAGAAAGTGCACCAAGCATTTTTTGTTTTCAGTTTTCAGTTTTATTTGTCATATGCAAGTTGGCACAGGGTCAACATTGCAATGAAATGTATTTGACGAGCAGAAGACAGTCACTCAATGCATACCGTCAGATGCAGTGTGTAAAAACATACTGCCACTGGACTCTAGAGCAAAGGAGATGTGTTCTCTGGAGTGACAAATCCTGCTTCTCAATCTGGCAATGTGATGGACACGTCTCGGTTTGGCAGTTGCCAGGAGAAGGGTATTTTTTTGACTGCATTGTGCCAAGTGTAAAGTTTGGTGGAGGGGAGGTTATGGTGTGGGGTTGTCTTTTAGGTGCTGGGCTTGACCTCTTAGTTCCAGTTAAAGGAACTTTTAATGCTTCAGTATACCAAGACATTTTGTAAAATGTAGTGTTCCAAACTTTGTGGGAACAATTTAGATGGTCCTTTCCTGTTTCAAAGTTACTATTCAGCAGTACACAAAGCAAGGTCCATAAATACATGGATGAAAGAGTTTGGTTTGGAAAAACTTGACTAGCCTGGACAGAGTCCCGACCTCAATTTGAAAGAACACCTTTGGGATGAATTAGAGCTGGGATTGTGGGAGCCAGGACTTCTCGTCCAACATTGGCGTCTAACCTAACAATGCACTCCTGGTGCACTTGCTAAGAATTCAGTTAAGAATTCCAATAAACATATAAGCCATGTGGAAAGCCTTCCCAGAAAAGTTGAAGCCATTCGGCTGTGCAAAGGGTCAGCCTACCTACATCATATTAAACACCGTGGATTAAGCATAGGATGGCACTCAACTTCATCTGCATGTGGAAACAGACAAGTGAAAACCTAGCAATACAGTATATATCAACTAAAGATTATTGTTAGATCTGAAGGTGCAAAATCAAAGTTCAGTCCATTAAATTTAATTCAATTCAATTTTATTTATTCAGAGCCTAGAGAATTAATCCAGTACTACAATTTAAAATCACTTTTTGGGCAAAGAGTGAAATCAGTTTCTGTCTTAGCACCGAGCATCATCTGTGACTCTCTGTTTTATCCAGAATCAAATTTAAAATATTCGCTTCATATACAAGACCTTAAATAACCAGCTCCCATCTTATCTTAAGATTTCATAGTGCCATATCATCCCAGCACTTGACAGGCTGCTGGGCGCTTACCATGATGCACTATTTCTTCTTCCCTTACCTCTTTTCACTCTCTCTGTTTATTCTTTGTATTTAATCACTAGTTATTAATAATTTCTGACTCTTTTCTCATACTGTGTCTTTTGTCTTGTCTTCCTCCCATCACCCCCAAATTTTCGTGG